AGGTTTTGATAGTTTGTGTCTTCATTATTGTTTTGTTCCAGAAATCTAACGATCTCCTCCTTGATTTTGTCTGTGACCTAGCTATCATTCAGCATAAGGTTATTTAGTTACCCATGGTTTTATTTGATTATGAAGATTTCTGTTGGTGTTGAATTCAACTTTTATTCTATGATAGTCTGAGAATATACAGCAGATAATTTTTATTCTTTTGATTTGTTGAGGTTAGCCTTGTGACCTAAGATATGATTAATTTTGGAAGATGATCTGTGGGCTGATGAGAAGAACGTGTATTCAGTTTTGTTAGGATAAAATGTTCTGTATATGTCTGTTAAGTTCATTTGTTCTAGGGTCTTAAGTCCATTATTTCTTTCTTTAGTTTCTGCTTAGAGGACTGTCCAGGACTGCCAGTGGGGTATTAAAATCTCCAACCATTATAATGTGAGAAGATAACCTGATTGTTCAGATCAGTTAGGGTTTGTTTTATATATCAAGGAGCGTTCAGTTAGGGAGCGTAGATGTTAACTCTTCATATTGTGTGTTTCCCTTGACCAGTATGAAGCGTCCATCTTTGTCTTTCATTATTTTTGTTGGTTTGAATCCCATTGTATACAAGATTGCAGCCTCAGCTTTTTTCTGCTTTCCATTTGCTTGGAATACTCTTGTCCATCCCTCCGCCCTGAGTCTTGTTTTATCTTTTGAGGTAAAGGTGAGTTTCTTGTAGGAAACAGATATCTGGTGTGAGTTTTTGTATTCAATTGACCAGCCTATACCTCTTTAAAGGAGAGTTCAAACCATTGACATTAATTGAGAGAAATGATCAATGTGACAGAGTTTTGGTCATCTTGCTTTTTCAGAAGTCCAGAGTTTTATGGCTCTCACTATTGTATAAGCTAGACTTTGTTCTTTAATTTCTAGGTAGGTTTACTTTGGTAGTGTATCCTTTTGTTGCTTGTTATGAAGAATGGGTCTGAGTATTTCCTGTAGACCTTGTCGAGTCATGGCAAATTTCTCAGCATGTGGATGTCAGTGAAGTATTTGATTTCTCCATCACAAATGAAACTCAGTTTAGCAAGGTGTTGGATCCTGGGCTGGCAATTGTTTTGTTTAAGAAGGTTGAATGTCAATGACCATCCTTTTCTGGCTTGGAAAGTTTCAGCTGAAAGATCTGTAGTCATCCTTATACTTTTTCCTTTGGAAGTAATATTTTTCTTATGCCTGACTGCTTGCAAAAATTTCTCCTTTGTATTAACATTGGCGAAATTAATTACAATGTGTCTAGGAGATGCTTTGTTTTGATTGAGTTGTGCTGGGGTTCTGAAACTATCTAATATCTGAAATTCCTGCAATACTTGGGAAATTCTCCACTATAATGTCTTGGGGTAGAGAATTTGTGCCTTTGGGACCATCCTCTTTTCCTTCAGGAATCATTATAATTTGGATGTTTGATTCCTTGGAATGATCCCATAACTCAGGGAATATTCTGCTCTTCTCTATTTTTCTGCCTTTTTAAAACTTGGGATAGAGGCAGGACCTGTGGCTCAGTGAGTAGGGCACCAGCCCCATATACTGAGGGTGGCGGGTTCAAGCCCGGCCCCAGCTGAACTGCAACCAAAAAATAGCCAGGCGTTGTGGCAGGCGCCTGTAGTCCCAGCTACTCAGGAGACTGAGGCAAGAGAATCGCTTAAGCCTAGGAGTTGGAGGTTGCTGTGAGCTGTGTGACTCCACAGCACTCTACTGAGGGTGATAAAGTGAGACTTTTTCTCTACAAAAAAAAAAAAAAAAGACTGCTCTAAAACTTGAGATAGTTTAAAAGTCTTGTCTTTTTTTATCTGAGATTCTTTCTTCTCATTGCTCAACTCTATTTCTAAGGGACTCTACTGTATTTTGAAGCTCCTCAGAAACCTTTTTCAGCTCCTTAAGATATGCTATATATCTTCCTTCATTATGTCCATATCCTTGGTGACTTTGTCTTTAAATTCATTAATTTCTTGAGACAACTTCTGAACTGTTTTTCAGGTCCCTGTTTTCATCTTTTTCTCCATTCCAATTATCTTGTTTGCCATCTATATTCTAAATTCTATTTCTGACATTTCAGCAATTTCTCTGTAGATGGGATTCTCTGTTGTATTGTCTTTGACATCCCCAGAAGGCACTGATCTGCTGATTTTTCACGTTGCCAGAGTGCTTCAGCTAATTCCTCCTCAAGAGTATTTTCAGCTTCTTCCTCTTTTTCTTTTTTAATAGGTTAATTATACCTTTTTAGTTGAATTGATAGATTGTCCCTGATGAGTCCACTCCTCACCATTGCAGTGACACTTGCTGTGCTAACAAAGGCAGACAGGAGGTGAATCTACAACCCCAGACAGTGTTTCCAGGGGGACAAGAATCAGTAGGCAGTATTGACCCAGAGTTCCCATCAAAGTCGCTCTGCCAGTGCTGGCTCCACTTCACCAAATCAAGTTTACGAGGCTGCCCAGCTGACAGCACTGGCCCAGAGTTCAGGAGAGATGCTTATGCACTGGGCTTCATCCAGTTAATCAAGCGCTGAGGGCTACAGCTTTATAGACAGTGTAGGCCCAGAGGTTACACAGAGTCACTCAGACACCAGGCACAGCCCACCCAATTGAACCTCCGAGAGCCTTCACCCAGTAGAAAGTGTTAATCCAAAGTTCAGTACAAAGTCACTTAAACCCCGGCCCCACCTTTGTAATTGAGCTCTCTCCCCACAAAAGCTTGGACTGCTGTGCTACTGTTCTCAGGCTGTAGCTTGGCAGTGGCAGACTTCCCCAGGTTTCCAGTGAGCTTGTCAAACACTCTGGACCCTGCTGGGGCAGTCCTTCCAGCAATGAAGGTGGGGGAAGGGCAATCTGGGTGCTTAGGATTGCAAGAAAAATATTTGGTCTCTTGTACCAGACAGAATGGGGCCCAGTGTCAGTGGTGGGACCTCAATAACGGAGGACTGGGAGTTAGCAGCTGCTCTCCTGTGGGATAAGGTGAGGAGACTTTTGTACCCAGTTCTCTGGCTGACTGGTCGCCTACCATGGAGCTCCCTTGTGGGGAGAGGTCTCCCTTCCTCTGGGAGCTGGGCTCATACCTGTTGTTTTTCCTCCACTTTCTTGTTTCTGCCACTTGGTTCAGCCTGGGTGATGGGTATACACACAGACCTCTCATTGCACAGCTCCTCTCATTTGGCTTCCATCCACTTCAGTCCAATATCTCTCCTTTTGGGCATGAGCCTCTGGAAAAAGCTGCTTTCTACAGCCATCTTCCCACAATTCCTCTCTCTCCTCCTTAGCACCCCTGGAACCTCTCCTTCTAGAATTAAGCTATAAAGTAAGGCCACCTCCCTATTCCATATTGTTCCCAGCTTTGTTCAGTGCTCAGTCCGTCTGCCACATTGACTATGCTGAGCATGAATGTGCTTTCCCACTCCTGTCTTCTGCCTGTGCTGTTTTACCTGGCTGACATTCCTTTCCCCCATGCCTCTCCCGCCTCAGTACTTTCTTTTGCTGCATGGATCTATTTGTTTATTCACCAATATTGTGATTGTTATATTTTAATTATTAGAATTTTGTGATGTATTTTGAAATACACGATAGATAATTTACCTCATGGTTCTTATTCAAAGTTGTGTTGGTTATTCTGTGTGTTTTTTCTTTTAAATGAATTTTGTGGCTGGCTTGTCAGATTTTATGAAAAAAATTATTGGCTTGGCGCCTGTGGCTCAATTGGCTAAGACGCCAGCCACATACACCTAAGATGGCAGGTTCGAATCCCCAGACCCACCAAACAACAATGATGGCTGCAACCAAAAAATAGCCAGGCGTTGTGGCAGGCGCCTGTGGTCCCAGCTACTTGGGAGGCAGAGGCAGGAGACTCGCTTGAGCCCAGGAGTTGGAGGTTGCCGTGAGCTGTGATGCCATAGGCACTCTACCCAGGGGGATAGCTTGAGACTCTGACTCAAAAAAAAAAAAATATTATTTTATAAAATTTTCATTGGGATTGCATTAAATTATGGATTAATTTGTGAAGAATTAACAATTTTGGAAGTACTGACTTTTCCCATCTAGGAACATTTTATGTTTCTAGCCTTTTTATATTCTCTGTGGTTTTGTTCTTCTGTACTTTTTTATTTTGAAATACATTGAACATAAATATAAGAACAAAGTATATCAGATACCAATGACCAACATCAAACTTTATTAGATCTTCACATTATGCCATGTATTTCCTTCACATACGGTTTTACCGCTTTTAAAAAGTGATAAATAAATATAAAATATAAAACATTGAAGATAGAGATGAGAACCCCCTGTATATCTCTGATTCTTTCACCTTCACCTTCTTGCCTAAGATACCATGGTCTTGATTATGATCGTGGCATATCTTTTTACTTGGGGAAGTAGGTATAATTATACTGGGTTTACTTGCTAGGCTTGTTACATACACTATAGACATGGTTGTATTTTTATGTGTTTTGGGATGAGTATCCACAGGGAGATTATGTTGTACAGTAGAAGCCATTATACAAAAGCTAATAGAATGATTTTAAAAGTGTCTGGAATGTTGTGATTTCTGCCTGTGATTTGGTAATTGTTTCACATTTATGTGTGTACATACCTGATAACAAATTTAGTGCAGCCATTTTTAAGTGTTTTTCAAAATCAACTATTCTTCTACCTCCCTTGTGTTTCAGGATCAATTCCAAACTGACCATGGTTCCCTAAGATCTTGGTTATTGTGTTCAGCTTGCTTGTTCATGCATAATGTCAGTTAGAAGATTTACATGGTAAACATCCTACTGTTGTAAACATGCAGTTACACGTGTCATTGTGTTTCAGCCCCATTCAGTATACTGACAATTCTTTCTTGCATCTTATTTGTGATTTCGTATCAACTATTTTTATGTGTTTCAGCTCCATATTTGAGAATAAACGTGTGGATATTTTTAGATTTTGTCAGCTTTGGACCTTACTTTTTTCTCTCCTTTAACTTCTCAGGTACTAATTTAAGTAGTGAAGACTTTCTTTTGCTGGAGCTTTTGCACTGGTTTAAGGAAGAATTTTTTCACTGGGTGAATAACATGTTGTGTGATAAATGTGGTGGACAGACTAGGTCTAGAACTAAATCATTATTGCCCAATGAGGATGAGCTGAAGTGGGGTGCAAATAATGTGGAAGATCATTACTGTGATGCATGCCAGTTCAGCAATCGATTCCCCAGGTGGGTACCCAGACAAGAAAGAGTCATTTCTTAATTGAATGATTGGACTAGAATTTTTTGGTAAATGAACTTCTTTTTCAGTCTTTCTTTTAATTATTAAAAATATATTCCTCTAGAACACACATGAGCAAACTGTGGCAGGGAGGCTAAATCCAGCCCATTTCCTGTTTATTTGTAAATAAAGTTTCATTAGAACATGACCTTTGCTGATTCATTTACTTATAGTACGAAGCTCTTTTCACACTACAATAACAGTGTTAAATACTGGTGAAAGAGACTGTATGACCTGCAGAGTGTAAAATATTTGCCATCTTTTTAAAAAGACATTTAAGAAATTTATAAAAACTTGTTATAGAATATAAATTGAATATTGTCATAGCATTAAACATAGTCATAGTATGTTTAATCCTATAAATCTTGTATTTTTAATACATAATTTTTAGCTTTCTAATAACTTTAATAATATTGATCACACACAACAATGCTAATAACTTATCATTTTTATAATAAATACAATGCTGTGCATAATCATTATGATAATATGGAAAGTAAAAGTATCCATAGTATCATATTATTTTCTTTTTAAAGACAGAAGTTTGTTTTAATTAGGTGCTTTCCCTGCCCAACCTAACTTATCCAAGTATCTGTAAATTTTAAACAAAGGAAATTTTAATTTTTCATTTAACTTTTTCTGTCCTTTAACTTATAAACTTCTTGTCAGATTTTTTTAATTGGCAATATTTAGAAAGTTTGGTTGTATTACCAGGCAAGACAAGATACCACATTTTTGTGAAATACCTAATGTTGGGGACTTCAGGACTCAGTTTTGTCCCTCATTTGGAACCAGCCCTGCAATATACAGAATATAGGGTAAACAAAATCCAATAATTATTTAAAATTAGTTTATGTTATTTCTTCATTGAACATACATTTGCAAAGATTAGAAGAAAAAATATATATATAATTCTCATAAAATCTAGGCAGTGGATGTAAACTAATATGCAGTATGGAGGGGCAGAGCCAACAGGTATTGATGCAAAGAGTTATTCTTTTCCTTTGTAATCACTTAATTTACCGTTAGCTGCTCTTTAAGAGTGGGATGATAAACTTTATCAATTAGAAGCTAATCTGGCCTTTAGTCTGCATATTACTGTGCATACTACTTGCAATAGTAGTGTGTATAGAATATGGAACATGGGTTGCCCTAAAACTATTGTTACTATTCCATAATGCAAATGTACAGCTCTTTTCTGTAACTTAATTACATAAGTCCTAAAGTCCCTTAGCTTATTAAGCAACGGCATCTGATTAACCTCACCGTGCAGAGCCAATTCATTCATGCCACTGTTTCCACTGTTTCCTTTTCTCCACAGGCACATGGTTAACATCTCTGCTCAATTGGGGCACTTTTCCTGCTTAGCTATATAAGCTCAAAATCTTTCTTAACACCATATGCAAATTTAGTGTTCTGCAGTTGTATCATTTGATCATTGGAGTAACTTTTGAGAAGAATTTTGCAAATATTTTCTAAAAAACAATTTCCAGCCAGGTGTGGTGGCTCACACCTATAATCCTAGCAATCTGGGAGGCCGAAGTGGGTGGATTGCTTGAGCTTACAGAGTTTGAGATGAGCCTTAGCAAGAGCGAGACCCCATGTCTAAAAATAACTGGGCATTGTGGCAGGTGCCTATAGTCCCAGCTGTTTGGGGGACTGAGGCAAGAGAATTGCTTGAGCCCAGGAATTTAAGGTTGCTGTCAGCTGTGACACCAGGGCACTCTACCCAGGGTGACAAAGTGACATGCTGTCCAAAAAAATTTTTTTTCCAAATTAGCAAGCACCTTTAAATACTAAAGAAAAAAAAATAAAATTTTATTCAAAATGATTATTAGAAAAATAACATGTTAAGTAACATTGAATTAAACTGAGCTGAATTTTTTATTGAGTAAAATTATTTACCTTTTAAATATTATGAGCTAATTATACCACTTTAATGCTAATTCTTTAAGCAGATTTCTTAGAGAATCTGCCTGTCCAAATCTTCTCTGTCATTCAGAGCCCAGTTCAAATCCAAGGTCTTTTTCCTAAACACTCTTCATAACATTAAATCTGAGTGAGTGTGTCACATTCTGCCATATCTTACAATTATTCGTGTTAATTCCTTTTCTCTTTTAGGACTGCAAACACCTCGAAGACATACCACTGTTCAGCCATTTTCCGCCAAAGATTGTAACACTGACACAATACCTCCTATATTCTAGACTCTCTAATTAACATTTAAAAATAAGAAATATAAGAAGTGTTGTTTCTGTTTCGCATATAATAATATATGGCATATATTAAATTTTTGTGTTTTTTTAACCCAGATATAATAACCCTGAGAAACTTTTGGAAACAAGATGTGGACGGTGTGGCGAGTGGGCCAATTGTTTTACACTGTGCTGCCGAGCGTTAGGGTTTGAAGCTCGCTATGTTTGGGATTACACAGGTACTGAACACAGTGTGAGCAGAGAATTGTTGGGCTTTGCAGATTTACAGGGTTGAGTTTATATTCTGTCTGCTACTTTCTGGCCTTGTCAGTCTCAACTTCTATTTGCCTTTTATAAAATAACAATACCAACCTCCCAGGTTTTTTGAAAGGATCACAAGGTTTTTGTACAACATCTATAAATAATTCTCTTTTTAAAAATTAATTGTATTTTTATTTATATATGTGTGTACATATTTTGAGGGTATATGTGATAATTTAATATACTTTATACAGATCAAATCAATATAATTGAGATATCCATTTGTCTTTATGCTAGAAATATTTAAATTATTCTCTTCTAGCTATTTTGAAATATACAAGAAATTATTGTAAACGAGAGTCACCCTACTAATCTATCAAACACTAGGTCTTATTTCTTTTATTAATAATTTACCAAGGCACTTATAGCAATGCTATTTCTATATGCATAATAACGTGTAACAATGTGCAATAGAAATCTTCATTTTTGTAGGGATTACTATAAGAAAATTCAATAAACTTAAATTGCAGTATACAAAAATAATAAGTCATGTGACATTTGTGTTGTCTTAATAGAAATGCCTGTATTTATATATCAAAAAGTTATTTTCCTTGTCTGTTGTGTATAATGACAACTGTCCTGGTGACAGGCACAGGAAAAGCCCTGAGTTGAGTATTATACAGTGTATCCATGTAAGAAAAACATTTCTACCCCTTAATATTTCAAAATTTTTTAAAAGGCTGTTTTCCTTATTCTTAGAGTTTTGCTTGTATTTCTAGGTTTTTTTTAGAATTAAGTGAAACCGTCTCTTAATAATTACTCTTCTAAAACCAAATACAAAATATTAACAACTAGAAATCCTGTTAGATGTCTCATTGGTTTGGGGTCTTAAAGTCCAGAGAGACTGTAGTTTCAAAACTCCTTTGTAATAGCAAACTGAGCCTGGTATTGTTGATGCTGTTCAGTATGTCCTGAAGCAGGCTGCATTAAAGGAGATTATTTCTAAAACATTTTCAAGGATTTCAAAGAGATAAATTAACATAAGTATTCTAGAGTCTTGTCACAAATTTTCACTCTTTTTAACTAAAATTTAGAGTATTATTAAATATATGATTCTTAGTTACCATACGTGATTCTGGTTTTATAAACTTAACTTTTATTTCCTCTTTTCCATTGCTTTTTGTGTCTTTCTTGCATAGACCATGTCTGGACAGAAGTCTTTTCTTCTTCTCAGCAACGGTGGCTGCACTGTGATGCATGTGAAGATGTCTGTGACAAACCACTCCTTTATGAAATAGGATGGGGCAAGAAGCTTTCCTATATTATAGCATTTTCTAAAGATGAGGTAGGGCATAAAAGAAAAAAAGTATTTTTCTAAGATTAAAATATACTCTCATAATTAACATTCAGTAAGTTGCATATATTTAAAGTGTACAATTTAATAAGTTTTGTCATTTGTATACACTCATTAAATCATCACTGCAGTCAGTATTTATTTTATGGATGTACCATAGTTTATCGTTTCATCTATTGATAGACATTTAGGTAGTTCCTCATTTTTTACTATTTTGACTTAAGCTGCAGGGAACATTTAGGTGCACGGTCTTTTATTTATTTTCTTTTTTGAGACAGAGTTTCACTTTGTCACCCTTGGTAGAATGCTGTGCTATGGCATCACAGCTCACAGCAACCTCAAACTCTTGGGCTTAAGCGATTCTCTTGCCTCAGCCTCACAAGTAGCTGGGACTACAGGCACCCACCATAATGCCTGGCTATTTTTTTGTTATAGTTGTCACATTGTTGTTTAGCAGGCC